CACTTCCTGTCTATTTCCTACTAGTATCTTACAGGATGCTAACATTTAGAGCCGTCTAATAACTTCTTACCAGGATCCTAAGATGCTAGGATTCTACCAGGATTTTGCTTAAGCTTGTTTAGGATCTGTTCCATATATGTCTAGAACTTGGCCATAAGGTTCGTAGACATTCATGTTTTTTACTGAAAATACGCTAACGATTAACATGTTAGCTGATCTACGGCGATTCTCGAAGAAATTGTTTCCAATCTTCAATAGTGTTTAGTGTGTTACACTCTCAGTGGCCGCTAACGGTTACACTTTCATTGCTGTTAGTCAAAATTGATTTTTTGAAGAAGAAGCAATCGATCGTATGTTCATAGTCTAATAAATTGTTTTTGTAACATGCTTTTGGTAAAGGGAGTAAGTCTGTAGCAGAGTTATTTAAGAAGACATCAAGTAGTATTGTTATGTTCAGAAACTGTCCTAATCATAAAGAGTGGACTTTGACGGTGCTAAAACAATGTGGACTTGTCGGTGTTTCTTTGCCGTGTGAGGTCACCTGAATGTGTTTCGAAAAGCCGTCGACGTAAACTTGAGCAAATTGTGGATCTTATGCGTAACGGTAGTAGAGCAAACTTGGTGCCACCAGTTATCATGTCGGATGGACGAGCTATAGTAGGTTCAATTATCATTCAGCACCAACAACTCGATTTCAACAATGTCGACATTTCCTAACGTATAGAAATTTGCTAACATTTGCCAAGGTGTGAAAAGGTAGAGATATTCCTTATTTGATACGGCTCTATTGCAATGCTTGCACACGCATATTTTGTGCTAGAAGAGATAGACTATCTCCAATTTTTCTAGAAGCCTAAAGGCGAATCGAAACAGCGAAAAATGAAATTCAGTATTGTTCACATATATTTTGCAGCGTTCATAATGTGCGCACTGCAAAATGACAAAACAAACGAAAAGAACAGAAATTTCGTTCATCTATTGTTTTTTTTGGTCTAGTTGTGATCACTATTATTCTATATTAAAGATTGCATCATCGTTAGCTATCTGTGTCTATTGTTTTCTTTTATGTTACATGTCTTTTGCTCTTCTGGATAGATATATATGAAAGCATACGTTCAGGTATAGTCAGTTCGAGTGCATATAGAATACAGAGTTAGTAAGTGGTCGGACCAGTTAGTGATCTTCTTACTTCATGTTATTCCTGCATATGTATTTTTTCATCATTATTTTTAAATATACTACATAGACTGGATTGATACTTTGTTTAATCTAGGTTGCTGAGAGAGTTTCTAGTCTCACTTGATTGAAGAACCCGAGCTTAACAACTAGTAGAAGCCGAGAGTAAAAATACGTGATGACATGAACCACCGGATGAACCAACAATAATGAATTTATTCGTCAATAGGTACTGTGTTCGTGAAAAAAGAGGATTTTTCCCCAAAAACAGGCCAAAAAGAGGATTTACAGAAAAAAAGAGGTGGAGTGGGAGGCCAGCCCAACAGAATCGACCTGTCACCAAAATTTGCAGCACAGTGCAGAGCTGGGCAACTCAATTCAAAAAACGACCAACTCGATTCAATTCAGTTCGTGAATGGAATCGAATTGAATGGAAAAATTTTTCAAAAATCATCGAATCGAGTTGAATTGAATCGAAAATTTTTACTAGGATCACTAAATTGAATTGAATTCATTCAATTGGAAAAAAATCAAGAAATTCTTGTTGCAAGATCAATATACTAATAAAATCAAAAAAAGATTGAGTTATGCCTCTAATTTATTTTATAAGTTTTCTTTAGGCCTTTTCTTCGAGGTATTTAAACCACAGTGGCATTTCTGTATAAAAATTTTTTCGAACTGTACAAATCGAATCTAAAACAATTCTCAGGCTAGATGAATTGAAGTGAATCGAAAATTTTTTCAAATGAATCGAATCGAATTAATTCTCTTTTTTTAGCTGAGTTGCTCAGCTCTGGCACAGTGAGAAGACCTAAAGACTAAACTTTCAACCTTTAAACGCATTTGATGTTCCGTGCTCTTTTGATTGATTTGTTTGACCCTCTGGTATACTTGTTTTCAATCAGTTTTTAAATTTTCAGTTGAAGCGCTCTCTGCATCGCAGCTATTTATGACATGCAAGCATGGATAAATAATTAACGATAATAGCTATATTTATTTTGAAAAACAACGCACATTCCATCGTATGATAGTCTACCTAAAACAATCTTTTCTCAAAAACAAAAATCAACAATAAAAACAATAATTTCTCCCACTTTAAAATAAAAAAAAAACGATCCTCCATCTTTCCCTAATTGTCTGTTATATCTTGTATTTTATTCTTAACCAATAAAATTAATTACAACTAAATGTAGAATAACGTGTGCAAAAACAAAATCAGCAAACGCACGTTCGGGTGATACATTAAACGTTGATTGATTTGCTTTATTTAATTGAATACGTAAACTTGCTAGAACGAAAAAAAATGGTCAAAACATGACACTTCACGTGCTAAACTTATGCCGATAAACTTGGAAAGTATTGAGTTCTCTTACCAGCCAGTATAAAACATCCAACAGTTGAAATAAATCCGGATAAAAACGAATTGAATGGAAATGTACCCACAAGTAGACAATAGGCAAATTGAACAATACCGGTTAATAATACGTAGAATAAATAAGCGTCAATTAATTTTAGTTTTTTTGGTGTACTTGTTTGATATTCATCATTTAACCTTTTCAATATATCAGTAACTTGACTTAATTGGCTCATGATCGATTTAGCTAAAAGATTTTCAAAAGACTATTGGTAATTTTCAAACAATCTAAAAAAATGAAAGAACAAAAGAAAAGATCTAATGGTATAATAGATCAAGATATTATCAAAGACTAACACATTCAAAAGCGCAAAAACTTGTTACTTGAAAGAAAAAGTATATAATAGTATTAGATGACTCGTTTATTAAATTCGACTAATTAGAAAAACCAAACGAGAGACAGAGAGTAACAATAATAACGATATATAGCTAAAAAGCGCAAAAACAGACAGTTCAATATCTAGGAGACCATTAATGGTGTGGGTGCTTGTAATGAACTTGTTGCTTGTGTTCCACTACCCCCAACACCACCATTCATGGCTGTATCGGACAAGTCTGTTATACTATTTGTAGCTGTCATTGCCGATGTGGGTGTGGTTAAACATTGATATTTCCCATCGAGACCTTCTTTCCATAGTGACACTTTATCAGCTGAAGCCACGGCTAAAATATCACCAGTCAACGACCAACTAACACTCCATACAACATCATCAAAAACCGTTCCAATTTGTGTACATTCCCATGCTGATTGTGTACGAACATCACGCGTCCACACATAAACACGACCATCCTATAATAACAAAATAAAAAGAAAAACAGTCAATGTGACGTTACTTTTCTATTAACAGACTCTCACTTGTGAACAACTCGCTATTTTTTCTTTAGATAATCCAAATGTTGGTGCCCAAGCTACATCTCGAATCCAATCTGTATGTTGATCTAAATGGGATTCTTCTATCCAAGCATCATCTTGTTCTCTAAAATAACAAAAAAATCAATAGATTAATTATAAATAGTATTTTTGCACGATCCATACTTCCATATTCGCACAAGATTATCGCATCCACCAGATACAAAACGTTTAACAAGTTCAGTATTTCCTGTTGTCAAAGATGAATCATCCATGGCGGCTGATGCTGATATTTGTGTACCAATCGATCGAGCCCAGCTCAACGCATTTACTCCTGGCTAAAAAAACAACAAAAAAAAAAAATAAGAATGTACAATCTCGTGCAAAATTCTAGAAACGAGTTGTTTTGTCACTTTTTCCCTCGTCCATAATCGCTAAAACAAATCTGAAAGTAGATTTAAATAGTTGAAAGAATTTCCAACCTGATATGGTGCATACAAAACTATCATCAAAATTTCTGAAATCAGTATCACTGGAAAACCAAAATTCTAGAAAATCGAGTTCCAGGATTCGGTCGAAAAATCTTTGTAAAATATTCAGTCGAATAGACATTTTTCGACAAAATGAGACAACGTCTCTGAGCTCTCCACAACACTTTTTTCATCAGTCTGCATTCAATTAAATCTTTTTTCAGATTTATTTTAGCGATTATGGACGAGGAGAAACAATCAAAAACAAATCGTTTGTATAACTTTGCATATGAATGTAAATGTTTTGAAGTATTAGGTGCAGATGTTACACAACTAGGATGGATATATACTGTAAGACATTAGTCATATTAGCTGGTATCTGTTCTTACCGGATGACAATCAGGAAGGTTTTTTGCTGTCCATCTTCCATCACCTAAGAGAAAAAACAATAACAAAAGTACATGAGAGATCAAGAATCGAATAAAGTGTTGTACGCACCACTTGATGTAATTATAGAAATCGATCCATCAGAACTTCCACATGCTAACATTAAACCGTACTCATATGGTGCCCAAGCCACTGTATTCACAGATGATGTATGTCTATCGTATTCGTGAATAATTTGAAAATGTGAACCACCACTCGACGACTGAGGTGTGGGTAACGTGGATGAGGATGTTTCTTTCCAAATAATGACCTTTTTATCATAGGAACATGATGCTAATAAACTACCATACATTGGATGAGACCATGACAATTGCCACACAGGACCTTCATGACTAGAAGAAAATAAACACATTTTTTTGCTTAATAAATATTGTTATTTATGGATACAAATTGAAAAGAGCCCGGAAAAATGGCAGAATATATAAATTTGTATAAGAACCGTAGTCAGGAGCTTGGCTATTTTAGCCACATTTTTCAGCAGAAAAGAGCATGGAAAAACATCTGCTCTACAGTACTTTCTGGCTGTTTGTACCTCCGTCTTCGAAACTTGGTGTTGTACGTTCAAAGCTATTCTCTAATTCTAAAAATGTAATAATGACTGAATAGGAAAACTGCTGTTTCTCAAAAACTTTCTATCTATTATCCATGCATATACATGAATATGAACAGTCTTCTCACAATGCTAGTTTGATCTTTTTGATCTAATTCAACCTTTCTCCTTTCTCGTCACTGTCAGTCATTTTCTGAATATTGGCGCGAAAGTGACGTGGTAAGTGCAATGTTTCATTACGTTGTTCATACTGATGTGATCATGATGAAAATATCATAAAACCTTCATCTGATGATTGTTTAACTTTTAATCGAAATGCGTATAATGGATATTTTTTATACTCTAAATATTTATACCTAATAGATAAGCCACCTTTAAATTCTTCCGTTCGATGTTTATACGTATTGTTATCTTATGTAGAATTTAGGAAAACATCCTCACTTGAACATGAATAAATTTCTGCCATTCCATAACATGTTGTAGTTGATATGTATATATAACAGTGAAATATTAGATATCAATGTGTGCTTCTCTAACTCTATACATGATTTTTACACTATCTTTGTCGTGTAGTACATGTCTGTATTTTTTCTGGACTCTTTTCTGATTTCATCCCTATTCAGACACAATATGTTACCCTTTTAAATCTGCAATTAATTTTTGTTGATGATTTATAACATCAAAAACGCGAATAGTTTTATCTGATGAACATGTGGCTAATTTTGTTCCATAATAATCTAATTGAGCATCGTGCTTAAGATAAAGAGAAAAAAAGTCAGTAGACGTTCATTTACTGAGCAGTATTAAAAACACTTACAATAAGTTCTTCATGTCCAGTATCAATAGAATTGATTTGTGTCTAAAAAAAGTAATATAACGATACGCAATGAGAAATGATTTGTTACAATGTTTGAGATCTTACCATTTTGATATTTCAATATTATAAAAAATATTTTATCTAGAAATTGTTAGAGTTATCTTGCATTTTTATCAGAAAATATTATAGTCCATACTTGCCACTAAATAGCTTTACGAAATCTACATAAATTATTTTGCAGACATGACCAACTTACTCCAGTTAAGTAACAAAAGTAATAAATACTCACAAAAAAGTTTGGGAATCTTAAGAATAAAAAAGGTTTGTCTTCTGGTGGTAATTCTTAACAGTTCTTTGTTAGATGCAAAATGAACTCTTCCGTTTAGTAATGCATGTCCCATAGCTCAACCTAATGGACATTTATTTTTCGCTAGTACGTTCTATGGTTATCATAAATAACTGGAGATCGCTCGTCTAAAGTTATTGTAGATTCGAATGCTAGTTTTGCCAAAACTGAGCAATCATTAATAACTGAGAAACAAAAGGAAGAAACACTTGAATGAGAAAAACGGTATTGATAGAAAGAAGGAAAAGTTTCTTCTATCGCTTGTTTTTCGTTCCACTTAATCAACTTAAAACTTAAAGCAGACGTTAGATAAGCTCAGTTTATTATGAAACTATTGATCGCAAAATAGAAACTAGAGAGAATATACGTTACGCTGCTTGCTTTTTAGCAAATCTCATAGCATATAGTCACAGTATAACAAGAGTTCTTCAACGATTATGACGTGGTCTTCGGAGAACACACTCATCAATCAGATGGAATTCTGAAAGATGACGCTATGAGTCAGTCAGAAACGGACAAAAGAGACGTCCATTCATATACGTAAGTACAAAGAGGATACTTAGCGCACAATAAATCATGTTCTGTTATTTTCTGGAATCCCAAGCCGACTCAAACGGAGAACGTACGCATTTCGAATGTTTTATACACGTTCGATACGCCCGCTTCGTCCATAAATATAGTAAGATCTTTTATGATGAATTCGTACATTAATTATATTAGCAATGACTACTGTTAAGAAGCTGAACGCTGTAATATTTACATTTACTTAAGCCTAGTTTGTTAACGGGATCTCGTATTAAACATTGATTGGTATTGAATAATGTCCAATCCTTCCAATATACTTGTTCTAATTTCGTTTCTTGTCATATTAAGGTTGTTTCCTGCTAGCCGTCAGGAGTCACTTTCTACGTCTTTTCATGTAGAAAGTGGCTCCTGACGGCTACCGGGAAACAACCTCATTAAGTATTATATTATATGTATATAGTTCATATATAATATTCACTGCAGATGTGTTATTCTCGCCATGCTCTTTATCAAGTTATTGATACTTTACTTGTTTAAACAGTGAGCAATTGATTTACATCGTTCGGCTTCTTTACTTGTGTTGCTGTGCAAATGAATGAAGTGTATAAAGTGATGGTCTTTTGATTAAAAGGATATTTACTCATTTTTTAGATTGAAAAATGTATAGTAGCGGTAATAGTGTTCCGTTCGATAAATTTGCTGAGCACCAAGATAAATCTACATTGGGTAAATTACGTCAGAGATACTGGAAAGCAAAACAAATCGTTATTAAAAAACTTGGTCGTGAAGAAGATGAATGTATTATTGCATCCGATTCTGATGTTGACGCAAAACTAGAACTATTATTCACTGTTAAACGTTCATGCCGTGATTTGTTACGTATTATGGAACGGTATCAATTCAATGTCACTCAGTTATCTCATGAAGAGACAGATTGTGCACGGTTTCTCAAAGATTATGCACAAATGGATAAAACACGTGCTGGAAAAATGATGTCAAGTGTATCGAAAGTTCTGGCCTATACGGCACAACAACGTTTAGCATTAAGACAGCCACTTTTACGTTTAACAAATGAAATTGAAACATTTGAAAATCGTGCCGTTACAGATACATGTACAACAGTGAATAAAATGGAAAGGGCAAGAACAAATTATCGAGGCAATTTATTATGGTTAAAAGATGCTTCACAACAATTGGATCCTGATAAACAATTGGGCAAGTGTAATAAATTCTTTTTTTATCATGTGTCATCATTCTTTTCCTGTTTTTTAGAAAAATTTCGTCGTGTTCAATCACAAGTAAAACAAACAAAGCATCATTATGATAAATTGAAGGGTGATGTGATACAAAAAATTGATTTACTAACTGCTTCACGGTGTAACATGTATTCACATGTACTAGCCCCGTATCAAAGAACATTGCTGGTATTTTGGGAAAAAACTTCCAAGACAATGTCAGCAATTGCTGAATCATTTAAAGGTTATCAATATTATGAATTTACAGTGATCAAAGATTTACAAGAACCCAACAGATTATTGTCTGAAATGAATTCAAGTAATACTATTGAAGAGAAAAAAGTAGAGAAAAAGACGAAAGAGAGTGATAAAAACATTCTTCAAGAGTCATCGTTGATTGACATCATAGCAGATTCTGAACAACAAGGACAACAATTAGGTAGATAAGATCTTTAGAAATTAACGCATACTGTCTATTTAACTGGCTATTACCACTGATCTTTTAGTTACTTCTCCAACGACACACACTGAGAACGATGATGTATCACCTCTGATCGATATTTTAAATGAATCGGATGCCAAATTCGATGATCAACTATTAGAATTAGAAAAGCTAACAACACTTGAACCACCTGCTCCGAAAATGCCTGATCAACACAATCTACCAGGATCTGATAGCAACGATAACATAAATGAATTAATTCATATTGATAATGATAAATTATTTAGTGAATTTTTATCAAGCACAGAGTTTAACGGTAACAATGCGACTGGTGGAGCGGGAGCAACAGATGATTTTGATTCTAACTGGAATGCAGCATTTGGTAGTGAATCGACAATGCAATATCCATCATCATCCGCACCTTTTACCAGTAAGTTCGAATCAAATTAGAATAGAGGGTCGATCGATTCTTTTTTTGCTCTTTTTTCAGCTAATGCAGCGAGTCTATTGAATGATGATTCATCAAATTTTTTACCATCGCATATATTGAATGATTTATTATTATCAAATAAACTCGAAAACTCGTTACAACTCGGCGTACACCAACAATTATTACTTAACAAGTCAAATGCGAACAATAAGGCACCATCAGAACAACCCGCTAAACCACTGAAACAAACTACAAAACATGATAAATCTAATTGGTTTAATTTATTTGCTGATTTAGATCCATTACAGAATCCAGATGCGGTTGGAGGAAAAGGAACAGTTGAGGCTGAACGAAGCTGTTGAAAAACAAGAACAAGAACAAGATCTTTCTCTTCCTTATGAATCTGCAATATAAATTTTCGTTCAACGTATTTATTTTTTCTCTATGTATCAAGATTATTTTATTTGTCAATGGTTTTCTTTATTTTACAATACCATCTTATCTTGTTTGTGAGTGTAGATGCTGTACTTTATTTATTGAATTTCTTTATATAATCTTATTTTCTTATTCCTTGTACATGAATAAGTAAAAGATCTGAATACAAGTCTATCGGCTTCCGTGAAAGTCTTTTTTTTTAATCTTCAAAGCTGACATAGACTCTACTGTATCTATTCGGTATATTCTTCTTTTTTTTATTACTATAGGTAAAATTACTTTTGCTCTTTGTCGGATAAATGAATATTATAGTTGTTCCTTACATCAATATTATGTTCAGTTATTCAGAAAATTTTAGCATCATTACTTTGTATCGAACGATGCTTTTTCTCGTTCATCGTATCTTTTTTTGTTCATGAAAACAGTAGTATGATCAATTCTTTGTATAATTACACTGCTCTTTTAACATTCCGTAATATCTCATTGTAACTGTCGTTAGAATTTCTAACAGCAATTAATATACAAGCTAAACGTCACAGTCATCCCTTTTTTAGTGTAAACATGTAACAGTGAATTTTTTTTTTATTTGTTTTTGCTAATGTTGTTGGCTTTTTATATTATTTGATCTACTCTTGTTTTTCTCGATCTCGTCATTTTTTTTATTGTTAATATGTCAATAAGCTTTGTTTTAGGCAATATTCAAACATTATTGTCATTATTACTACACGTATATGAATTGCTGTGGAAATGTATTGTTTTTTATGTCTCATTCCAAATATAAAACATAAGCCTCATCATATACTTTATTTCACATTACCATAGTGAAAATAAATTATGGAAATAAACGTAACAATTCGGACAGATGTAATTACATCAAAAAGAATGCGGCAAACTCTTCTGTCAAAATTAACATGTTTTGAATGATAGTTCACCCTTCTGCTGCTTCTAGTTGTATGTTTCTCACATTGCCACGTACTTCGATCATTTTATTGATTAAATTAAAAAAACTTCTATGATATAAGAAAACAACAACAACAATGTAAGCCATTAATATTTACGAGAAATTGTTTTTATAACCTTATTACTATTACGTTCTAATTATTCCATATTATTGATAAGCTATTATATCATAACCTACTCGTGACTGATGTTTTCTATTAGAGGATGCTTAGTGTAGTGTAAAAAAATGTCCATTCTGTCTGTTCAGATTTTGCCTTTATTCACTAAAGAGTGTCTGTCAAAAACTTTTGTTTTCAGTATAAATTGTCTGTCAAATGCGAATGTTTTCATTCTTACAGAAACGAATCAGGAACTTTGCTCATAAAATCTAGCTCGATCGACTATATAACCGAGCGATTTATTTACATGATGGATCTAATTAAATGTGCCTTTTTACCCAGTTAGTTCAACTTAGTACTAAACAGAGCACATAGTACCACCCAGGACGTGGAAAACGGTGTACTTTATTATCTATTAAACAGCACACAAAATATGTCTTAAATGACATCTTTTAGCTAGTTAACACCATTTTTTAACCACTTTTCGACATTATAACTGGAAGCATATTCATCTCTGAAAGCAGCATCTTTTCAACGGCCAAGAAACAGCCTGAAAACAAGTATTTACTAGTGACCGTTTAATGGACATTTTTGCGTAATTATTGGCTGTTTATGGTCAAGGTTCCGACTGTTGATCATGACTAATTCCTTTCTGACCACTATCATGAAATAAATGAGTTTTCAAATTTTTGAAGATTTTCAGTTCCCGAGGTATGATTGATGCCATCACTGACACCATACCAGTAGCTACTTCCTCAAACACAAATTTCGATGACTTGTATAGTCGAGGTAGAACAAAACTCTACGTTTTCTATGAGAAAACAACGTGAGATATATAGTAGTAAGGTCAGCAAAACAAAACGGTAAACGTTAGATGTCCGTTTTTTGTCTTTTTATGTAACGATCATAAAACGGTCAATAAAATGCCATTTGATGGTTTTCTAAATCTGATGAGGGAACACCTTCAGACAATAACCTCCGATTTTAATGATCTTTTGCCGATAGATAGAAGATAGTGTCCCAATGAAAAGCTTAAACGAATTTCTGTCTATATTGCTTCTTTCAAAAGTTATGGAATTGTTTTCTTTGCTAGCACCGTACATCATACAAAGATAAAAAAATTCATAACCTTGCAACAATAGGGAACTAAGGTTTGAAATTGTTGGCTATGGTGGTACTGATCGTCTGTCAATAATCCAGAAAGTTTCAGGCTTTTAACTCTTTCCTTTCGCGAGTTATTGAATTTTTACTAGCTTAAGGAGAAACATGTAATGTAATGTTTCCTAAAAATATTTTTCAGTGAGAAAAATAGCACTGTGTTCGAGAGCCAACTGTAAAAAGCACGTGGCTGATCGATCACCATGAGGGTATCCACTGCTTTCCACTGTGCAAATGTATCCTACTATAAAATGATGATGTTATTTTTTGTTGGAGCTGTAGATTAACCGTCCAGTTAGGCAATCGGTTAAACTAGATCCAAAGATGGAATCCATTTGATAAGAGCAAGGTTATCAGGCAAATTATTCAACCGTTCAACTTAATTAGCGCGCAGTTAGTCCTTGCTGGACAGTTTGAGATGTGAAATACGCTCGATACAAGGTGGTTGTTGTCACGGTCAACCAATCGATTAAGCTATAAATCAACTGCATTTGTGACAGGAAAAAGACGTTTTTGTAATAAATATCCGGTGACATACTTCCAAACCTTCTCTTTGAGCACCACTCTGATTACCAGAGACTGATTTATACTGAAAATTTTGGAAAACTTGTAAGGTTCGATGAATAAAGCTCAAAAAGATCAGAAGAGCCGACCAAACTGCAGAAGGAATGACAAAAGATTAAATTAAAGCGACATAGGAACAAATAAGCGGAAAACTAATGCAAAACCTTAACTCACAACTGTAAACATAGCCAATCACCAATACAGCAGACTTTTATCGCTTCGAAGAAACCATTTATTACAAATGTGCATATAAAAGGCAGAAGAGGGGTGTTCAAAAACGTTTTTTTGCTGCTGGACAAAATGTTCGTTATTTCGCCATTCACACTGACGGTGTTCGAAGTCCAGAACATGCATTTTTTGCATAATCATATTCAAAGGTAATATATAATTAATATAAAAGCTGATACTGAATATGAAAATCATCAGAAAAAACGGCATACATTCAAAGAAACAAGTGCTAGATGATGATCATGAATAAATCAGAGATAGTTTTTAATTTTACTTTTGATTATCTATCAGTTGTGACTCATTCTCAATAGTCTAACTACTATAAATATAAATGGACTTTTTCTTCTAATTATAACTACAAAGCAAAATATTTTATTTGTCCTTGTCGTGGACTAGTACTAAAAAATAACCAGCCTTTGTTTAATGATTATATCGTATCATATAAAAATCAAATTTTGAGACAAGCGAGTCTAATTGCTTGAGATACTCATAGTCATGAAAGCGGAAATGGGATGATGTTTTGTTATGGAATATTATACTAAAATGGATGAGACCGTTCTTGTTTATATAAAATAAGAAAAAACACAGTGTTTATTTCACAAATAGAAAGAAGAAATGAAATGTATGAAGAAAGATCATTTGAAAAAGACTAAACGGCAAAAACATTGTAAAAATTTCACTGTTTTAGTCGAACAAAAAAGGACAAATATATTTAATTATCGCTCATTTGGATGGTATACTAACTACCACCTTGCAGGATCTGACAACGTTTCTTTTTACAATAGCATATTGGTCTGAAAATAAAATAGACAACAATCAAATTTTGTTCTCTCATTTCTATATGAACATGTCAAATACTAGATGTCTTCTCATTGTCAACGATCTAATTTGACTGATGTAACATTCCTATAATTTAGTTGTTTGTTATTAACTAAAAAACATAAACTTACTTCTTCGCATTATTTTCAAATATCAATGGTTTAATAATATGATCTAAACATAGATAGAAACAGACTCTTTGTTTGCAAATTTTACAATATTTTTCTTTAAAATTACTTTTATGACACACTTCTGCGCATGATCGACATATCCCTAGTAAGACAAAAAAAAGATGTTTAATAAGATACAATGTAGTTAGAGACTATGTGTCTAACATCTAAGACTTTGTCCATTTCTTAAACATTGTGTACATTCAAAATAATCCACTATATGTTCACGATTTGGATAATTTAAAAATGTTTCAATAATACATTGTTTAGGTACTTCACTTTCCAATAAAATATCACCATGAACGATGATAAGTGTACCAGGTAACTAAAGAAAAGATATTTATATAGTAATTACACGATGCATAATAAATAGTAAAACATACAATCTTATGTTCTAAAATTGCTCGACAATTTTTTGATACAGTTAAATGATCATCAATCAGTGGATCATCTGCCGTTAATTTTTGAAGAACCGATTGTGATGATTGATTTTCAAGTGGACTAAAACAGTAGACAGATATTTTGATTATTAATGTTACAATCCATGTCTACTATTAATAATTGTTTTCTTTTCTTTAAAAATCAAATCTTATTTTATCTTAAAGTGATTTGATAAAAATTAATGTGTTTATATCTACCTAATACAAGTGAATAATATTATATCACCATATTTATTAACTTTATCTTGTTGTAACTGTACTAATTCTTCAATACACGGTAATAATTCTTCCAGTCTAATAAAAGAACAAAACAATGAATAAATAGTACACGATGATTTGTATTATTTATTATCAGTTGTACTTGTCTTCTAGTCGTAGTTGTTTCGTTAAATATTGATTATCTTTACCCATATACAATTGATTATTTTTTAATAATGTCACTTTCACTAATGTGCCAATAGCAGAAAAATTTGATACATGTGTTTTCAAATGTCTATAAAAAGATGGAGAAAACAAAAACATAACAATACAATAAAAAAATTTAAATTAAATCTAATTATACTCACTCTTTGTATGCTTGAATAAATAATATTTGAACTTGTCGTTGATCATCTTCTAATAATTGAATTTGTTGACGAAATAAATTCATGTGTTCTTCACGTTGAAGTTGATAGTCTAAAATCGTATTGTACTAGTGTGATGAAAAGATCATTTAGCAAAAAACTTTATAGTCTTAACAATTTTTTAACTTATTCTTTGTAATCTAATCGCTTTATTTATTATTTAGATAGATAATCTTCGTATTTCTTATCCGAAATTATTGTACACTATCTTTTGTTGCGCTAACCACTTACTTTCGGTTGATAAATTTTCTTTTTGTAACTTTAATAATATTTGCTCATATTTATTTTCAATTTCTCTCTTTTTTCGTTTAAAACGACTTTTCATATCATTTTCAGATGCTAAATGATCTGATAATCCTGACACAAGTGTTTCTATAATAAACAAAAAATGATGGAGATATTGTACGTTACAATTATCATTAAAAAAGAATATCCATCCTTTGTATACATACCACGAAATAATTCTTCAAGTATAAAACGAATAGAATTATCACCAATTTTATCAACAACTAAAAATACAATATAATATACTGAAATTCTTTGTAATTTTAAAGAAAATTTTAGAAATCAAGTAGAATATGACCAAAACATTTATATTTTACAGTTTTCACTCTATCGATTGATCTCACACAACTTATTTCGTTAACATGAATAGAAAACATACATTACTGATGAGTTATACGCTACATTCTCTACCAGTATCTCTTATCGTCCATTTCAATCTTCTAACCTTGTCTCTCTCCTCACTCTGTAAAACATCATCATTACAAATGAGCTCTCTCTAGATGTCAAGTATATGAATTACATCGTTAGCAGGGCTTCTTTAATGTTCAATTTTTATCGAATGCCGCAACGTTGGCTCCATTGAATTTCATTTGATAATTTTAAGTAATACCATGACTGACTACTTACATCTTTCTTGTTCTCTATACTGTTCATTCTCGTTTCAACTTGGTTTTCTGTTTGTCCGAAATATGACAATTATGACCTTCGATGTTGTATATCCCTCGTACTTTACTCCTTTCGTTTGTCGAATAGATGTGTAAACTTCAAAAACTATTTCGGTGTGGTATCGAATTTCCTTGAGGCCTCTGGTACTTGGTGACTTAGGCTATTCTCGATATCGTATGAAACATACATAATCGACTACGTCGAATCGAGTGACACCGTTTGTTTTCAAAGAAAAAAATGACATAACTAATGAAAAGCGTGTTTTACGGAAATTGAGTTTTTTAGGCTGTTCCCACCACAACTCACTCGACAAACATCAGAAAGAGTTGAAAGCTTCAGGATGTAGTTAATTTTGTCCGTTATATATGATCGACAAACGTAAAAATGCTTGAATGACTAGTGATATAGTTAAAGGACTATGTCACTAATTCACGAAATAAGTTGTCTGATGATTCTGCGAAACAGCAAAGGTTGGAAAATGAAATATTTTCATATTGTAACTGGATTTTCAAGTTTTATAAAGATCTTTTAGAAAACTAGATTGGTATTACGAAAGTTGCCATACAAATATCAGATATAACAAACATTTTGCGACATTTTTTGATTTGTATGTATCTTAGTGTAGAAATATAATCAAATCTTAGATATTTTTTAAACGGTGTGCTATTTAATTCTCTACAAAAGGCCTCTTGAACATGGAAGAATGTGGAAGAAACACGACAAATCATCAATCTCAACCACTTTCCATACCAAAAAATAGTTTATTCAATTTTAATCCTTTATATTTTGCGAAATCAAAAGATGACCATTTTGTAGCCTCTGAAAAGTTCCATCCACTGATCATATTAAAAACTCGTTATAATCATAAAAGACTTTGGAGAATTTTTTTCTTTTATTGACTTTTCCAAAATGAATATTTCCCAACTGAAGTTTTGGGACATTTAAGGAAATTTTACCTCATCCTAAAGCAAAATAATTCTGCTGTTACATATTGACTCGTTTACGTCAACGTTTGCAAATATGACCGCGGTAACGTTAAGGTGACAAAATTCTTGTAGGCGTTTTGCACTTTCTTTTTGCATTCCTGGAAATATGGTTTTATTTTTATCTTATGTTAATATTTTGTTGAAAGTTCTAATGTAAACACCTCGTGCATTAATTGCCAAATTAAAAACCAAACAAACATCTGGAAAGAGAAAACTCAATGGCTCTATTTCGTTTCCTGATCCAAGGTCAAACTTTCCCGTTTTAGGGGTGAATTTGAGTCAAATCGCTTTTTGTACGAGAAAAACATGTTTAAAACAACCTTTGATATATACCAAAAGAAAGACAATATTTCGAAGAACTAAAACATACTTTTTATTGTGTACTGTGGTGCACAACAACGTGTTCAAATAAGTTGGTTTCTTGTTGTTTTTGACATAGGAAGTGGTTGAGACTGATGCTTTGCCGTATTTCCTCCACATTCTTCCATGTTCAAGAGGCCTTTTGTAGAGAATTACATGGCACACCGTTTTAAAAATATCTAAGATTTGATTATATCTCTAGATATAGATATATACAAAACAAAAAATGTCGCAACACTTTTAGCTATTCCAAAGTGTCTTCTTGAAAATGGAAATCAAACATCTTTTAATTTTTCATGATTCAGATGTGGTGTCAAATTTCTTACAAGTTCTAGAGTCGATATTCCGTTAGATGTGGTAATTCTGAATATGCATGGAAATGTACATTATTGACTACCGATGGAACCTCCCGAGATGCCCACTTCCTATTCAAATACTTTGTACATAGATCGATAGACCTCAGTGAGGTAGTAATTACCTTAAAGGGATTCGAGTCTATGACTCTTGAAGACCCGGTTTTCTGAAAAACTGGCTTTTCAGAAACTAAAAAATAATCAAAACCTTTTCTTAAGGAGGCATGATTGTGGCCTGCAAATTTCTGGTTAAAATGAGACGTCTCCCAGCTATACACGATCTTTCTTTGCAAAGTTATAGAATTCACAAGAAAAACCCTAAATTTATTTCTTCTTCTGTTGCTTTGAGCTGACAATGAATATTTGGGACTTTTTTGTAAATTCTATAACTTTGCAAAGAAATGTCGTGTATAGCTGGAAGACGTTTCATTTTAATCAGAAATTTGCAGGCCATAATCATGCCTCCTTAAGAAAAGGTTTTGATTATTTTTTCCAGTTTTTCAGAAAACCGGGTCTTCAAGAGTCATAGGCCCGAATCCCTTTAAGGTATTTACTACCTCACCGAAGTCTATCGATCTATATACAAAGTATTTGAATCGGAAGTTTCCTCAGAAGGTTCCCTCGTAAGCTCAATCTCATGGTGATGTATGTTTTCTGAAGAAAATTCAAATTATTCGAAAAACAGTGGTCTGTTTTTTAATCTGAAGTGGATACTAATACTACGGAATACGTAAAAAAACCAAGAACTATTAAATAAGCTAAGACGAGAGCTACATATCCTGTTCGATGTTCAGTTTAGCAACAGATTTTCAATAATTGATCAATATCGTATTAATGTCTACTTGTATGGATACAACAATCCGAGACTCAACATATTGAATAAATATGTGAAAAAAAAGCGAGTTTTAAATAATACATATAGCTTGCAAAATCAGCTTTGAAGACGTTTAAAGATACCAAAGACAAGCAACATTAGATTTTGTTTGTTTTACCTTGATCTGCAAATGCTTTAGCTTTTTGCGCTTCAGCCTCTTGTATGGATTTATTAAGAACTTCTAAAAAGAACAAAAAAAAGACCATTTCTTGTTTCTCTTGTACATTGAATAAGTCCTGCAATGGTAGTTATGTGCTGAACTAATACGTTAGATCAGAGCAAAAGAGAGAAAAAAGTTTTATGAAAAAAGCAATGCAAAACGCCAGTGATGAAGTCGAATAATCGAAAAAAAATGGAAAGTATTTTTTTGTGGCTGCATGAACGGGTCGGAAGACTTTTTCTAGAGTTAATACACTTTTTCTAGAATGGTACATGTAGAAACATACTTCCCAGAAACCTACGTAATTTTTCAATCAAGCATTGTTCTTTTTTTTACTTCGAATTTTAAGAAAATACACTGCTGCGAAATATAAATCTTTGTAGGACAATAGCTTTCTTCTTGCCCCTGATATTTTTTTCTAGAAGGAGTAATTGGAAGTAATTACCACGTCAATATATAGCTGTAGTGCTCGTTATAAGGCTTGAGAGAAAAATTTTAAAAGCGGAAAGACATTCACGATGAATGAGAGATATGAGTACAACTCTGCATCAAGGATGTTTTAATCAAAACACTACCTAATATTGTAGTCATATGTGCATCACGATTAAGATCGCTTTGTTGTTGGATATCTTTGTTACACAACGGACAACGATGGAGTGTGTTGACGGATTCTTCGCAAATAAACAATGAATAAGGGAGATAATCACAGATATCGAAGTAATTTTTTTATTATTTTCATTTTACCTTTAATACACTTTTCGCAAAAGCGATGCATACACGGTGTTACCCAGATATCTCCCAGAGATCCCATAAAATTTAAACATATTGGACAATTAAATTGTTCCAATAATGCTTCAGGCTAGAAAATAGTATCGAATAATCAATAATTATAACACCAATATATACTTACTGAAATAGCACAATTGCTCGACATAGCAGCGGCCATTATGAGTTAAATATAAATAACTGAAAATAATGAACAATTTATGATGTGGAAAATACTTTGAGAGTACTATTGCCAGTTTTCGCTCATAAACTCATCTGTGATTTAAGAAGCACAATAAAAGTCGCTTTCACATCAGTTAATGAAAATAATGTAACATAAGAAAGAAAGAAAAAAAAACGTGAAACACAGTCATGTTAAACATAGTCTGGCTACATAAATGACAAGCCATAAAAGTGACTGTACCGAGCTGGGTGATAATTTTTAGTCTATATGTAAAGGAAAAATGAATGAATAGTCTAGGAATTGGAATTAGGATATTTATTCTTCAAGTCGATGTTCTAACCGTTGAATCATCTGATTTAATCACTATATGTCGCAAGCACATCACAGTGACAAAATGAAGGGCAGTCATCCACTTTTCTGGATACAATACTAAAGTAACCGAAGTATCAATCACTTCAGTAAAAACCCATATCATCCATATTTTTTGTGTAAATATATGATATGTCATTTCGAGATTTCAATCATGATCCACTAGACTAAAGAGATGTTCAGCGAATGGTGAAAAATATCTCGAATGAGAAAGATGTAATTACTTATCTGTTGCAGATGGCGTTAGTAACTAGCACCTTTTGCCCTCGAACAAACTATCTCTCTTTACAGTTTTGCACCACCCCGTTGGACAATAATTCTTAATTTGATTAAGAACAGCAATTTCTTTATCAAAAAGTATTTGTTATTAAGGTTATGGAAAGCTAAAATCACTTTTTTACTATTGAAGATTTTGCAACTTGCGTAATCTGCGTCAACATGATTTTAAAATATTTTTAAAGTTAAAAATATGTTTTAAAATAAAAATCTAGTCAAATCCAGGCTAAAAAGGATATTTTTAAAAACTTTACTATAGATGATGATAGTGTACAGCGCAGTTTATTCTGGTTTCTATCTGACAGAAGAACAGAAAATTTCTCTTCCGACAATTCGTTTTTCCTCTCCTTCATGGGAACAAGAACGAGTCATGTACTATATATGCAAAGTACAGGAGCCTGTTTCTTAAAAAAACTTAAGTATTCCACTTAAGTGGACTTTTAATGGAAAAATTACGTCGTACTTAATGGACACTTAAGTTTCCACTTTTCTCAAAAAAACTTAAGTTAAACAGACGTCATACAGTAAAAAACACTCATATTTTAACAAATTTAGATTATTTTGATCAAATTTTTGAATAAAATCTTTCTAAAATTATTTTCTATCTGATTATTGTGTCTGGACCACAAAAAAACATAAAATAAAGAAGTTACAAATTATAATTATTTTTCACTTAAAAAATTACGTAAACACTTAAGGATGGTAAAGATGTCCCTTAAGTTAAGATGCTTGTCACTTAGCAAAAAGATCTTACTTAAGTCAAAATTTTCACTTAAGCAAAATTTAAGTTTTTTCGAGGAAACAGGCTCCAGTTCTATTTTCCTTGGCTTTAGTTTGGGGCCTTAGTCCTTGTCCAGACTACGATTTTTTCATCAGAGTTAAGTTTAAGGGCATCCAGACCATAAAATTAACTGTTCAATCTTGTTTTGGTCCTCGTCTCTATTATGTAGATAATGTATTTGAAATGAATTGGTTGTGCAAAAGATAATAATTGGAATATGTATATCGTAAGGGTGAAACTATAGCCATTTCCAACAGCAGCCGCCATGTAAGCATAGATAGTGCATTTGAAACTTATCGGGGCATACAAAAGTTTTTCCGCAACTGTCGAGACTATAGGTTTTGTAGAGCTTGTCGAGTTCTATCGATATGCAAATCCCAGTTCCAGATGTGATGCATGCTCCGAGAAAGTTACATTATACTCTCACCACATAGTCATGTTTTTCACAAGAAGTGAGAACTTGAGGATGCTGTGGCAAAAATTTCAAAACTTCGCCTATTTCAGATAGAAAAATAGGGAAATATCCCAGATGCAAATGTGTTGTTGCGATTCTACTGATTAGGACTTTTTGAGATGTAAGACTCGAACATAAAACAATTTTTGAAGTGTTGTCGCTTCTGCGCATACAATGTATTCTTCTGCAGATAAAAGAAATTATAAGTTTTCACCTTGAATTTAAATAAAACATTTTTATCTCCTTATCTCCTTGACAAAGTCAAATTCGAGATTCTACGCTCAATATAAGTTAAGATTATTCGAAAGTTAAGGGGAAATTTTCAAACATCTTTAACCGAATGATTTACGCCAATAATACTCAATATCAACAACCAGCTATAATCTGTTATTTTCATCATTTCTGTAGCGGTAGATACGAAAAAGTACCTCAAATCCTATAGTTTTCAGAAAAGAGATAAAGTCAAATGAAATTAGACTTAGAGAGGAATAAGAGGTGAAGAGCTATGTTAGAAATTTGACAAAAATAGTTAGAGAATGTCGAAAATAACGTCATATACACTAAGAGAGTAAAAAAGCCGTTTTTTCGAAACGTGTACCATATCTTGAACTGTGGTTTGCATATTGATAGAACTCGACAAACTGTACAAAATCTATAGAGTCTCGAAGGTCACGGAAAAATTCTTGTATGCCGTGATATACTTCTGATATACTTACCCATTTAAGAAAATTGAACGCTGATTTTGAAGAAAACATTGCGATTTCGATAAAGCTCGTAACAGAGGTGGGCAAGTTCTAGTCAGAACTGATAAGTTTCTTTAAGCAGATTGTAACTGGACGGAGATTAATTATTTTCGCAGGCGTGACTGATTTTCCAGATGTCCTTCAACTTTTCGGTTTTAGTGTAGAGAAAAATCTTCGATATAGGCATTTAAAGAAACAGTGGTATCATTTCGGTAAAAAGATACAAGACAAAACATGTAATCATTGAAGCAAATTGGAAAAAATTTCTGTTTCGGACTGAAGTTTATAGGACTGAGATTAGACTAGACGTAAAAATTTAGGTTTTGAGTGGTAGCAAGAGCGAATCGCTTTGTGATCTTCAGAAAGTTGTGGTGGAACTCGACTTTGTCTTAACCAGGCAACCCAAGAACCTTTCCAGTACGTCTTTGTGGTTCCAGGTGTCATACAGCAACAATACTTCTCGAAGAATATGCTGATTTGTAAAAACTGAGAGAACTTTCCGAATCTACTAACATTTCCGAAGTTAAATACTAAAACGAGCAGAGATCTGTTACAGGACAACTTGTTACAATATAGGCTTTAATAGATGTGAAAGAAGCAAGAAAAAAAATCACCGATTCGACTTCTTAGAAAATCGAATTCGATTTTCCAACTATTTAGAAAATCGCTGTCGAATTTCAAAAATGTTGGAAATTATTTATAGAAAATTGCTGTCGATTTTCCAACTTTTTAGAAATTCCTTATCGATTTTCTGACAAATGAGAAAAGTCAATTTATAGAAAATCGAGCGAATTTTCTATAAAGTAGAAAATCAACATTTTCTAAACACTCAGAAAATCGCTAAGGATTTTATAAAAGTTGGAAAATCCTTGGCAATTTTCCAGATCGATTTTCCATATAAGTAGAAAATAATTCCAAATTACAGTGTATCAGACACAAACTATAAGTGTGTCTATACATATAGTGTATATACATTTATTTTTTAATATTTTTTATGATATAATAAATAATTTTGATAAAAAAAAGTGTTCATATAAGTTGAATGAGTATTTATTATATTATTTTAAGATAATTTGAATATTGTTCGCCTCATTAGAAATTCCATAATATTTTAACAAATGTCTTGATCGAATATGTTTTCCTTTGTAATATAAATGAAATTTATCATTATTCGAATGGAACGATTGTTTCAATTGTGTTTTCAAATAGTGTACAGTAACATATTCTGGCACATGCAATCTCATTGTTTTACCATCTGATTTACGAATGACTGTTAAATTAATTTGCTTTGGATAGGTAAGCATTTTTAGAATTTTACCTGCTCTCACCTTATGAGTAACGAAATGTTAATGTGTGTGTTTTTATAGAACAAAAAGTCGCATTGTCTACACATATTTTACAAATAGGATGTTGTAAATGACGTATTATATTTTCGTTCTCTTACCTCAAATCAAACAACACAGCGTTCAAATATGTCATTTGCTGTAATGATTATGTTGTGTTGAACATTATATAAGACATATAAGAGAGATTACACAGATAGATAATCAAAATAAACTATTAGCCTCTTGCTACTGTCTGAAATCTGTAGTTTAAATAAAAGTTGAAAAAAACCATACATACAAAACCATATACATCATGAATAACTCCCTAACGTCGTAACTTGATCTTTTTGCCACAAAGTACGCAGCATTTTCGATTAGGTGGGGAATTCCCTCACCTTGCCTGACAAAAATGACTCAGTTCATTTTAAAAAATTGACTCCTACTAAAACAAAAAATACTCGGAAAAACTAAAAGCCTTTTGTTTTGTTTTTGGTTATCAGCATAAAACGTCCCCCATCTTGCCAAAATTATATCGAAAACGCTGACGGTACGTTTTACAGCAATACATAACGTCATATGGACAGACAGCATTTAGAAAAAAACCTACAAGGATCAGACTTTCTAACAGTTTTTTGTCCCGTATATAATCATAGAATTGACGTATGTATGCAAATTTGTCTTAACAGAATAGCAATGAGGCAAAGAATTTCTGAAAACATGGACGACAGTTCGCAGACATTGCCAGATCAGTCAAATGTCTGAAGTGAACCGTAGACCAACGTTCTCATTTTTTTGGTACAAATAAACATACTTAATATTTCGATAATATAGTAGGTGAGGTAAGCATCCAATGGCGACATCGTTATTAGACGTCGCCAGTAGAGTCCTGCGGGTTCGAGATTTTCGAACCCGATCTCGATCCGGTCTCGAGATTTAAAATCCGTCCCGAACCCGTTAGAACCTTTTCGGGATCCCGAACCCGATCCTGATTTTTTCAAATAAAATCCGTCTCGAACCCGAAATATTTTTTTCTAGTGAAGTAGTGCTCTCTTTCATTTTAACATTAGTAAATTTCTACTCGTACAGGTACAAAACTATATATCACTTGGTCGGTAGTACATCTAGTGCGAAACACCTGTCTGTTTTCCTTATTTTTCATTCTTTTTATATTTAGAATTCTCTTTTATCTCCCACGATATTAAAGTAGAAGAATCGGGATTGGAAACAAACCCGATCCAGAACCCGATCAGATGAACTGAAACCCGTCTCGAGCACGAAAAATACCTTTCGGAATCGGAATCTGGTTAAACCCACGGGACTCTAGTTGCCAGAGATGACCAACTCGGCTAAGTTCGACTCTATCACAACTCTAACTCCACCTAAAGAAGTTCAAATCCAGCTGCGCTTCAACTCCTATAGGAACTTATTTTGTCGCGATTCATTTTCTTCTTTATTTTATTAGCAGTTGTTTATTTCGCTTTTGTTTACGAAAGTACACACAAAAAAGGTCATTTTAACAATTCAACAAAAAAAGGAAAAAATTGTCAAACTTATAGAAATTTTCAACTGGAGACGTGGAGTTAAAGTTGAAAAAATCTGAACTTAACTCAAATCTAATCTAATAAAAATACAACTTCAGCTCAACTAAAAAGAAGCTCAACTCCGGGGTTGGGGTAACTCCAACTCTGGACGTCGCTCATAGACTCCCGTCACTGAAATCAATTAATAAGAAAAAAAAGATCAAAACTGCCTTGATCTTCACTTAAACAAAATACTGGAATGTTCAAATGCTAACAAAAATTCGAAAAAGTAGCAAGAATATATAAAGATTCTGCAGACTTTTGTAAAGGATTTCTTCCAAGATTCTAGACGACGATGTCTCATAGCTAAACCTGCTCGCCGGCTGGAAAATCGACGAGAAACTCCAGAAAAGTTCGACGCCTTCAGCGGCGGCGGGGCCGAAAATCTTAGTTATGTATATGCGAGAAGAAGAACGTCTCAATCAGGGATCCCAGATCCAAAACACGAAAATCAGAAAATAAGAGTCCAAAATTAGAAAAACCTGATAAAAAGAAGTAGAAAATCAGTAGAGCTTAAGGCGAAAAAGAGGCAGAAAAAGTTCCAAAAATCAGAATTTTTCTGCCAAAAGTAGAAGATCTGGGATCTCTACTCTCAATTTTCGTTTTCTATGTCATGTTCTTTGTTCACATCAATATACCGATTTTTACTCAACTCAAATCCTGAGAAAATTCATGCAGATATGAGTAATAGTAAAAATGACATGCAACTTTTCTTTGACATAAATAGACAGTGTACACTTGTTCACTGTAGTATTCATCATGTTTTTTTTATTTTACTCAATGGATACAGTACTAAAGCTACAAGTCAAAGGGATATGCCGAAAAATGTTAAAAAGAAAAATATTAAACAACTGATATTAAAAATCAATTAAATATTTTTCTATCTTATTTAAATATTTTTCTTGTTGTAAGATAGAAAAATATTTAATTATTTTTCAGAAAAAAAAACAAATATTAAAGCTGACGATGATGTCAATATTAAAGCAATTTTTGGTTAGATAGAAAAATATTCAATTATTTTAAAATAAAGGAAAAATATTTAAATAAAGAAAAGTATCGAACGGACTAATATTTAAATAAGATGGAAAAATATTTAATTGATTTTTGATTTAGTCGTTTAATATTTTTCCTTTTAACATCAGAGACGTTAAATTTCTAACCAAGTCAGTGTGAATATTTTACTGTATTCACTCTACGAAAATTGAATAGATTTATTCTGATATGTTAAGCAACGTGGATTGCTCAGCTTGGAAAAACATTCTTATTGAAAATGTTAGAAGAACTCTGGATCAGATTAGCCTTCTATCCACAGCTTCGGTTTAGTGACTGGTAAAGGACTTCTGTTCAAAAACATCGAGAAGGTCAAACGATCTGATAAAACCGAGAGTAGAGCCGCGCGAATGTTTCTCTTTCTTCCTTCGGTATAATTAGAGAAATATGGATCCAATAGTACTCTTCTTAAATCTTCACGTCTTGAATCGTGTAAGTTAGTTAGATAGTGTATGACCTTAGTAGCGGATCTACGTATGGGCTAGAATGTGCTGAGCCCACTCATCGAAAAAAATTTGAAGATCGGTTTTCTCCAGCAGAAGTCGTTAAGGAATACATATATATATCTTCTTTTCCATTTCTCAAATAGAGACTGAGACTTAGTAACAGAGCAACATCCTCATGCAGTTGTTAGTGGACGCTCACAGCTACTCTTCATGGAGTTAGTTAGTCATCAAGAAAAAGAAGATAAATAAACAACGAACGAGAACGACGAAAAGAAACTTTTTTTTGACTGTTGAAGTTGAATTGAGATAAACTTGGCACTTAAATGGAACCAAAGAAGCAGAAACCTCTCGACTCTTTTTTGACAGTTTTGTTACTAAAATGCCTCGAATGCGTTTTGGAAAAGTCTAGGCCTTAACCCACTCACCCGAAAAGGACCCTGGCGGATTTGGTGATCCCCCTTGAACCAAGAAACCAAATATGCAGTTTTGTAGAACAGCTCGCGACGCGTCGAATGGTATATAAGAAATTCCGTTTTCATCTAAGCTTACAGGATCC